GGCTGAGCCCGCCACCCTATGGAGAAAACTCATTTCGGCCGCTTGTATTCGCGATCTCGTTCTTTCAGTCATTACCCAAAGCTCATGACCATAGGTGAGGATTGGAACGTAGGTTGACCGGTAAATCGAGAGCCTGGCTTTCTGGCTCAGCTCCCTCTTCACCACGACAGATCGGCTCAGCGTCCGCATCATTGCAGATGCCGAACCAATCCGCCTGTCGATCTCCCGATCTCTCCTACCCTCACTCGTGAACAAGACCCCGAGATACTTAAACTCCTCCACTTGAGGTAGGACCTCTCTCCCAACCCGGAGTTGGCAAGCCACCCTTTTCCGGTCAAGAACCATGGTCTCAGATTTGGAGGTGCTGATCCTCATCCCAGCCGCTTCATACTCGGCCACGAACCTACCCAGCAAGAGCTGAAGGTCAGAGCTGGATGAAGCTAGGAGGACCACATCATCCGCAAAAAGCAGAGACGAGATTCTCCTGCCACCAAACTCGACACACTCCACACCATGGCTGCGCCTAGAAATTGTGTCCATAAAGGTAACGAACAGAACCGGTGACAAAGGGCAGCCCTGGCAGAGTCCAACCCTCACCGGGAACAGGTACGACTTACTACCGGCTATGCGGACCAAACTCACGCTCCTCTGGTAAAGGGACTGAATGGCCTTTACTAAAAGGCCACCCACCCCATACTCCACGAGCATCCCCCACAGGGTGCCCCTGGGGACACGGTCATAAGCCTTCTCCAAATCCACAAAACACATGTGGATTGGTTGGGCAAACTCACATGCCCCCTCCATCACCCTTGCAAGGGTATAGAGCTGGCCCACAGTTCCACGACCAGGACGAAAACCACATTGCTCCTCCATCCCCGGGGATCTGCAGCTGTGTAGTTGTTTGACTACCTCAGCAACTTCTGCCCCAGAGATTGGACTGTCCATCCCCAGGTCTCCCAGCTCTGGCTCCTCCTCGGAATGCGCGTAGGTGGGATTGAGGAGCTCCTCAAAGTATTCCTTCCACTGCCCGACTATAGCCCCAGTTGATGTCAGCAGTTCCCCATGCCCACTGTAAACAGTGTGAGTGAGTTGCTGCCTCCCTCTCCTGAGATGCCGGACAGTTTGCCAGAACCTCTTTGGTGCCGATCAATAGTCTTTCTCCATGGCCTCACCAAACTCCTCCTGCGCCCAAGATTTTGCCTCGGCAACTGCCACTGCTGCACCCCGCTTGGCTATCCGGTACCAGTCTGCCGCCTCCGGAGACCCACAGACCAGCCACGCCCTGTAGGCCTCCTTCTTCATCCTGACGGCTCCCTGAACCTCTGGTGTCCACCAGCGGGTACGGGGGTTGCCAACACGACTGTCACCGTCCACCTTGCGATTACAGCTAGCAACAGCCGCCTCAACAATCGCAGAGTAGAACAAGGCCCATTCAGAGTCGATGTCCCCCACTGCTCTCGGGACGTGGTCAAAGCTCTGCCGGAGATGGGAGTTGAAGATCGTCTTCACAGGATCTTCTGCTAATCATTCCCTGCAGACCCTCACTATGCGTTTGGGTCTGCCAGGTCTACGCGGCATCTTTCCCTGCCATCTTATCCAACTCACCACCAGGTGGTGATCAGTTGACAGCTCCGCTCCTCTCTTCACTCGGGTGTCCAAAACATACGGCCGCATGTCAGATGATACAACTACAAAGTCTATCATCGACCTGCGACCTAGGCTGCCCTGGTACCAAGTGTACAAATGGGCATCCCTATGTTCGAACATGGTGTTCATTATTGCCAAACTGCGGCTTACACAAAAGTCCAATAACTAACACCACTCGAGTTCAGATCAGGCGGGCCGTTCCTCCCAATCACACCCCTCCAGGTCATGCTGTCATTGCTCATGTGAGCATTGAAGTCCCCCAGCAGGACAATGGAGTCCCCTGATGGGGCACTATCTAGTACTCGTCCCAGGGACTCCAAAAAGGGTGGGTAATCTGAACTGATATTTGGCGCATAAGCACAAACAACAGTCAGGACCCGTTCTCCGACCCGAAGGCGCAGGGAAGCTACCCTCTCGTCCCCCGTGGGAAACCCCAACACACAGGCAGAGAGTCTTGGGGCTAACAAAGAGCCAACCCCAGCCCTTCGCCTCTCACCCTGAGCAACTCCAGCAAAGGAGAGTGTCCAAACCCTCTCAAGGACTTGGGTTCCAGAGCCAATGCTTTGTGTCGAGGTGAGTCCGACGATATCTAGCCGGTACCGCTCAACCTCTGCCACAATCTCCTGCTCCTTCCCCACCAGCGAGGTGACGTTCCATGTCCCAATAACCAGTTTCCTTGTCTGGGGATCAGATCGCCAAGGCTCCCGCCTCGGTCTGCCTCCCGATCCACACTGCACCGGCCCCTTCATGTTCCTCCTGCGGGTGGTGGGTCCACAGTTGGATGAGCCCGTGTATCCGGTTCGGGCTGGGCCCAGCTGGGCCCCATGGGCGAAAGCCCGGCCACCAGACGCTCGCTCACGGGCCCCAACCCCAGGCCTGGCTCCAGGGTGGGACCCGGGTAACCTTCTGGGCCGGGTACGCCGACTCTTTGTTTTTACGTCCATGAAAGATCTTCTGAACCGTTCTTTGTCTCGCCCTTCACCTAAGACCCATTTGTCATGGGAGACCCTACCAGGGGCACAAAGTGCCCCAGACAACATAGCTCCTAGGATCATTAGGGCACTCAAACTCCTCCACCATGATAAGGTGACGGTTCAAGGAGGAGAATGCCCATCAAAAGGGTTTGCTGGGCTGGCTCAATCGACTGCAGTCACATCACTAACATTCAGATATGTGCAAAAAAGGAGATCATGAGTATAATACTTGTAACTCTAGCAGATAACAGGACTAAATGATTTTTAAACTAGAGATTCCTACATAAATTACTTGCCTGGTAACAGTAATCATGGTCTGGTGGTACTTCCTCCAGAGCAGACACCTCAGCAGAAAGTTCGTCCCGCCAGAGGGCACCACTGACTTCCTCCAAACCAGCCTCCCCCTCATCTACTGCGGCATCATACTCAGGTTCATCGTCCTGCACCACAATGTCACCAGCACTGAGGCAGATGTTGTGCAAAATGGTGCATGATGTGATGACCTGTAATAGAGATAAAAATTTAATTTATATTTCATTCCAAAACAAAGATTACACCCAAAGTTTATTTCCACTTTGTGTTAACATACATGAGGTACAAAGGTGTGGTGCTTCTCCAGCGCTTTCAGGAAGATGGCCCTGAACCTGGTCTTCATCATTCCAAAAGCACGCTCTATGATGCAGCGTGCACTGGAATGATGGCTGTTGAAGCACTGGGCTCCCACACCTTGAACCACCCGTTATTAGGGGGTGATGAAGGGGAGTGGCTGTTGGAGGCATGGGTACCCTCCATCTGCGAGGATGAAGTGCCCTGGAGGAGAATAGGCTGACTGCCTGTACAGTGAGTTGTGCCGGAGCACCCTGGAATCATGGACCGACCCAGGCCAGCCCACATAGGTGTCGATAACGCGGCCCTGATGGTCACAAACTGTCTGCAGGATGATGGATGGAAACAGTTTGCTGTTTCTGTAGCACTGACCATCAGGACCGCTCGGAGCCTTGATCCGAATGTGACAGCCATAGAGTGCACCTACTGCTTTCAGGAAAGCTCTGTGGCGAGCCAGCCTAGCAAACCCACGAGACACAACCTCCATCTCCTCTATAGTTTTGGGGAGGTGTATGACCTGGTGGAGAATTGCGACCACATCCTCTTTGACTCGATGGATGATGTCCTGGACAGTTCAGCGAGGCATCCCAAACACTCTTGAGACCATCCTGTAGGATGTTCCACTTGCCAACCAGAAAAGAAACACCAGGGTCTCTATTGTGGCACCCCAACCATGTTGCCGATCCTGGTTCAGGAGGATTAGCAACACCACCAACGACTCCCTGCTCAGACGAAAATCTGGTCTGGGATCCTCCTGGTTAAAAAAGCGGTCCAGGACTGGTACACTCAGGTTAATCCTGCAGTACAGGGGTCTGTTCTGTTAAAAGAAAAGTAGAGAACAATAATAAAAAAAAAATGTATAAATTCATGAAATGTTTAGAAGAGAGCTAGGCATTATTAGGCTTAAGTTGAAAAGGACAATAAACATTAAACACATTTAAATGCTACCTTTACTATGAACTTCATGCACAGAAACAAGCATTAGGATGAAATAAAAACTTCTAAAATGCCATTTTATTAACCTTTTTTACTGTATATAGGTTAAATTAACTATATACATCTGAGTCTACTCTATACTAATGTGTATATTCAGCCACATGTCTTTCTGTTGCTTAAAGTATAAATGAAACTAGCACTGAAGTTAACATGTAATGCCTGAAAGCTGGTTCACTAAACAAAAAATTATTTTACCTGGATATGGCTGCTTCTCAGCCTTAAATCCAAAGGCGGGTGATGGTGATCAAGCAGTCGTAGCTCCTCAAATAACAAAAAGAAAAGTAAAAAACACTGCTGTGGATCCATTTTCACCTATGTCGATGATTTTCACTAGCCTGTTAGCTTGTTAGCCTGTTTGCAGCCGTCACTGTAGCTAAGCAACTGGACCTGGGGGTGGGAATAAAAACGAGGCTAGTACTGTCCGAATTCAGAGCCGCTGACTTCCGGTTTTAGCGGTCTAGCAAGGACCGGCGAGGACCCGTACTCATACGCATCCTTCCCGTGGATTTGGACGCACCCAGTGGATGACCATGGAGCCTCGACCACAGTTTATGTATTTAAAAATGTATACTTTCAAGTTGAGAGGAATATTTAGAATTGATGTTAGTGAGAAATATTAGTGAAAAGGGACAAGTTTGTGAACTGAAAGTAGGATTTATAGTAAACAGGTAAAATATTACACACTGGGGCTTTAAAGGCGTGTTTAAGAATGTGTGTTTAACTAAACACACATCCTTTAGAGGGCGCTGTCTCAAAAACAATACAAACCTGATTTTGTGGACGCTGGGGCCGGAAATAGTTAAGTGTCCACACACGTGACTCTACCAGTGACAGAAAATGGCGGAGTCGGAGGAGGAGGTGGACGTCCTGGTCCAGAGAGTTGTCAAAGACATCAGTAACGCGTTTAAAAGGCATCCGAGCATGTGAGTGTTGTTGAGTGTGGGCCCAGCTAACCTCCCGCTCCTCTGCGGAGTTAGCATGGCGCTAAATCATCTGCGGCTCGGACTATTATCTGGAAACGCGATTAGAAAGTTACCCTTTCCTAGCTGCTGCAGCAGCGTTTAAACGCCGACCGACGTGTTTATGTATGTTCGTGGTCTTTGCTACATAACCCACGTGTTAGTGAAACTGATTCTGGGTTGTGGACACGGGTATAACGCTGCGTAATTCAGGTTTAGCTAATGGGACCAAATCATTTCAGTAGGTTTTCTAGCAGTTGGTGGTTGGCCGCCCATCACGGTGCTCTGGCAGCTTTGGACGGCCTCTATCCGGATACAGCTGCTAGTTCTAGACCCTTTCTCGCTGATGCGAAGGTTCTGGTCCAGTTTCACAGGAAACGTTTGAAAGTAAAACCAGATGTTAGAACCTGAGCTGTGTTTTAAAAGATTTGCACGGAGAGGGTCCAGAACCCTGCTAAGCATTCTCTAGATACATGTGTGATGGTAGATGCATTAAATCTTGTTTAACCCATGTATCATCATTTAAAGGTGTGGTTCACTCGTTTAATCAGTACACTAGCGGTGGTCTCTAGTGGGGATGGTTGCTGTGTAAGTCGTACTGTGAGTGTAGTGTTGGGAACTCTTAGGAGAACCGGCTCTTATGGCTCGGCTCACTGAAATGAACTGGCTCTTTTAATGCCTGGATCACACTGTGTGATTTCCGGCCGTCTCACGTGATTGTTGATGACACACTGTGGGAACTCCAGAAAGGTGTCACATGGTACGGTGCAAGATTTCTGTGAAGCAGACTGCACGATGTCTCTCTCCAGCAAGACATGCTGCGCCATGAGTGCACCCCCTGAAGCATAGGTCACTACGCAGACCACCATAGGGAGCCTAAGTCGACTTCCGAACCACGGGTCTCCGGAAGAACGAAAAAATGAATGCAAGTCAACGGGGCTAAACACTTTTTTCTAATTCTGCTTGTTTTGTTCCATGGATTTCACATAAGATGTCTGTGAATTTTAAAGACACATGTTGATACCAAGAACGCGCTTATTTTCGAACGGGGGGAAACTTTATTTTAGGTTTTGTGTGAAAATAAGTCCAGCACAACAAATGATCTTCACCAAAGTGACGTCATCGAACCAGACATGGAGGAAACTGAGGGAAAAGGGCTGTAAGTTCAGCAAACTTCCCACAGGAGGAAAGAACCACCATAAATCTGGTCATGTGGTAAGTAGCAGCTAGCTAGTGGAGAGGAGATTATGTAGTGACGACACATGGGACATGTCGATTTCTAGTTTGTAGTCATGCTAATTACAAACTTTTACAAGCTAATAAATCTCAAAGTACGTGACAGGCATGGTCGAAACACCCATCATTACTTTTCATTTAAACTGCAGTACAACATGTGTGTGATCCAGGGTGTAAGGCAAAGCGGATTAGAAAATGGCGTTTTTAGCCCCGTTGACTTGCTTTCATGTTTTCGTTCGTCCGGGGACCCATTAGCCGACTGGAAAGGGAGGAGACTTAGGCTCCCTATACATACCATACCTTTTTATTTATAAAGCACGTTTAAAAATAGCATAGCAGCTAACCAAAGTGCTGTACAGGAGAGCCAAAGACTCGCACACAACAACAAAGACAGCATAGGAGTAAAATCTAAAGCTAAACATAAAACACACATAAAAGTACATTCAAAGTTAACGATCTATAAAACAAGCACTGTGATGAGAAATAAGAGAAACAAGTAAAAACTAACTGAGCAACGTTAGTGAGCTAAAAAGTACAGAAGCTGCCGCTGATAGAGGAGCGTCACATTGAAGTATGAGGACAGTCCTGTGGGAAAAGCCAGGCTAAAGTAGTGTGTTGGAGGGCAGACTAAAACCTACAGAGGGAAGGTGCCTGACGCACATGGAGGGGCAGCGTGTGAGGAGGCACGCTCACCCCGAGGTCTAACGAACCTTCAGAACAATCAGCAGCAGCTGGTCAGCGGAACGAAGGGCACGAGTGGGTGTGTAGAGATGCAGCAGGTCGGCCAGGTAAGAGGGTGAAGGGCAGTTCAAAGCCTTGTAGACAAACAGAACCTTCTGTATTCTGCCCAAGGCGTCACTCATCCCAATCAGGACTGCATTTGCATAATCTAGACGGGAGGTAATGAATGCATGGATGACTAAAACAAAGCTGAAAAAATAACAACACCTCTTTTTAGTATCAGTTCATGACCCAACTCCTCTTCAAAGAGGAAACTTCGTTTTTAAAATCCTTGCTTTGGCGTCAGTCTCTGGCTGCAGGTCTCCTTTTCCCGTCTTCCAGCTAAACAGCTCATCTGTTTGCTGGTCATTCATCCTTCTCCTTTATAAATAAGAACCCACTAAACTACAGAGAAGCAACCATCTGTCACAGATCGCTGTCTAAAATATCTCAAGTTTTGCCGTGATTCTGTCTCTGCTCCGCAGCTCCGCTCCGTGACAGCTCACACCCGCTGTCACGGAGCGGAGCTTCCTATGTCCCTCTGCAGCTAAACGCTACTGAACCATCCTTATCAGTTGAAAATGTGAGATTTCCACCAACAGCAAAGGGATCTCATGTTTTTGTGTTTTATTTTTTATGTTCGTGAGCTCATCGCCTCTCAGCTCTCACAGATGTTTTCACCATTTATGTGATGGTGTAAAAAGATAGTCACATTATTTTAGTATAACTCCCGTTTAACTTGGGCTGTTAACAGAAATAATAACTGGTGTGTAGTAGGGGCTGCATGACTTAATTTTTTCAAAGTCGACCGTCAAGTAATGAAAATCAAGTCGACTTCGACTAGTCGTTGATGATGTCATACACCTGAAGCAGCTGAAACAGCGGCCGCAAACTCACTGATGCACCTGCAGCCTCTCAGAGTTCCTGCTGCTCTAAACATTAAAATAATTGTTTCATTTTCTGTTCCTCACTTCTGATTACCTTCAATGGTGTCTGTTTGTTGCAACCAGCAGGTACAAAAACTAACTTGTTTTTATTTGACTATTTTTCTGTCCTGCCTGTTTATTATCTTCCTGCATCTCCTCTCAGTCCTAAAGAAAAACTGCTACCTGGGTTCATATATATTCACCTTATGACTTACCTTTGAACTGCAGTTCTAAAAGATCTACCGACCGCAAAAACAGCGGAGTGCTCGCCGGCCGCACCGGTGAGATGAAATCACCAGAGAACCAAACAGGTGATGCGCTCCGATCCACAGCAGCGAAACGCATCTGGCACAAATAAAAGACAGAAAACATAAAAGGAAATGAGCCGACATGAACGATAGCGTCTTAAATTAGTGTTTGAGGTGGCGACACCTAATTTGATAATGTTACTGTGGCCATGCTCAGGACGCAGATGTCTGGAGCACGTCAACATTCAGAGCTTTGCATGCGCAAGCTGGTTAAGGTTAGGATGGGGGTGAGGGGAAGGTTATCTTGCAAGCGGGTAAAGGTCACAATTCGGTCAAATGTCCGTTTTACGGCAGGCGTCAGATACCGACGCTCTGGCACAGCGCGTTGCCTCCCAACGCGCAGGGGCTCGTCACCTGCTGTCTTTTCCGAGGACTGCATCTTGTCGGTCATTATCACGTGACAGTGGCTAGTCGATGACGGGCATAAAAAGCACTGAGCAGTGAAGTCGACTAGTTGATACAACCCCTAGTGTGTAAATGGTAAATGGCCTGTATTTGATATAGCGCCTTCTAGAGTCCTGGGACCCCCCAAGGCGCTTTACAACACAATCAGTCATTCACCCATTCACACACTGGTGGGGATGAACTACGATGTAGTCACAGCTGCCCTGGGGCGCACTGACAGAGGCGAGGCTGCCGAGCACTGGCGCCACCGGTCCCTCCGACCACCACCAGCAGGCAACGTGGGTTAAGTGTCTTGCCCAAGGACACAGCGACAGACTGAGCGGGGCTCGAACCCGCAATCTTCCGATTATGGGGCGAGCACTTAACTCCTGTGCCACCGTCGCCTCATGTGTTTAATGATCCGCAATTTTAACATAAATTGGAACCGAAGCTCAGAGAGGCGGAGTCTTGCTGCTGCAGCGTACCAAAGGTGTGTTTTCATTGGTCAGTTGCAGACAGGAGTCATAGGTTTTAAGCATGCTTGTAGACTGTTTGAGGCCGATTTGATCGTGAAACGGCTCAAAAAGTCTGCCTGTTCCGATACCGATATCAAAAGTAATTCGATATCGGCCCAAAAACACTATCGGATTATATTGGGCGGCATCAAAAATCTCCGATATAAGCAACCCATTAATGTTCACAATTTTGCAACCAGTGGTTACAAAAATTATTTTTTTCATACTTGCTGTTATTGGCTCTTGTTCTCCAATTGAGTAATATCACTTGATCAAGCCTTTCATACATTTCACGCTACAGTATAGGTAAAAGTATGTATGATTTGTGCTGATATCATATAAGATTGATATCGGTGTAAGTCAGTACTGAAGGCTGCAATATCAATATGGAATCGGAAGTGAAAAAGTTGTATCGGGACATCCCTGTTTTTGACTAATGAACAGGTTGGGACTTTCAGGCACGGTCTACAGTTGGTTTCAATCATACCTCACAGACAGGAGTTATGTTGTTTCCATTGGTGATCACAAATCAAAGCATATTGCCCTGACATGCGGTGTCCCCCAAGGCTCGATACTTGGACCACTGCTTTTCAATCTCTACATGCTCCCACTGGGCCAGGTCATAAACATTGACTACGTTTACATGCAGCCAATATCCGGGTTATGATCGGGTTAAGGTCGGTATTCAGGTTTCTGAGTTGATCAGAATAACCCGTTTACAAGCATAAATAGAAAGAGTTACCTCTAACTTGCATAACCCGATTTAAATGCGGACGTTGGGGTAGCGTCAGGATGTATGGACTACGTCCAGACGCAATATACATCATTTCCGGTTCTTCTTGTTCCGGTATCCGTGAAAACAACAACATGTTTCCCAGTTCGGAAGAGATAGCGACCGCGTTTGTTTGCGCTTTAGTTTCCTCGTCACTCCAAAAGTGTGGTGCTGTGCCGACTCGCCATGTTGTTCCCAACTTGTTGTTTACTTCCGGTGTTCTGGCGCATACAAGACGCTAGCTCGCTACTCAAAAGACCAAGATTCCTTGCGAACAGAGCATGCACAGAACACACGCTTTGATGGGAATATCCCGATATGCGTTTACACGACCAAACATTCGGGTTAGAAAAGGGTTACCCCAGGTGTAGTAACCGGGTTTTTAAAAACCCGGTTATGAGCATATCCGGGTTTTTGGCGGTGTTTACATGGACCTGCGGAACCGGGTTATTGTGAATATTTGGGTTTTAAAAGGGTTACTGGCTCCATGTAAACACACTCAATAACATCACCTACCACAGTTATGCAAACGACACCTATGGGCCATTCCCATCTGTACCGGGTCGGCCCGGGCCGCGTAGCCCCAGTCGGCCCCAGCCTGGCCCGGCTGATTCCACACATCCTTGCCTTAAGCCCATGTGGGCTGATTCTACCCACCAATCAGAGGCTTGCTCTAATGGAAGGTGTGAATTTGCTGTCAGCAGTGGGTGTGTTGGCCCTGGTCGGCCTGAAGCAGACCCCCTCGAGAAGAGGGCTTAGAGTCAGCCTTGGTTGGCCCGGAAAAATACCAGGCCACCCAGATATGTAAACAACCTACGTTACCCGGCCCGGGCCGACCCGGTACAGATGGGAATGGCCCACTAGATGTACCTAGCTCTGTCAGTGCCTTAGAGCACGTTGATGACTGGATAGGGCTGTCGCGATTGAGGAATTCCCCCTGCGGTGAGTCAGGGCAGCTCAATATTGCGATATGCGATATTATTGCACCCCGTTTTTATTTATGTACTTAGCAAATTTGTTTGTTAATTACTAAACTCATGGCAATATTTCCTTTGAAACATTGTGCTTACACATTTAAAAAATGTTAGAAAAAAATACATGGCCATTTTAACACTTTATTGAATGCAGATCAAAGGGCAGTAACGGCATTCTCTGACTGAACTTAAAAACAACATTCAGGAGGTTTAACTTTGAAATGCAAATTTGGCTGCAACATCTAACAGAAATAAAAAAAAGTGCCCTACTATCTCCTCGATCAGCGCGGACTTTACCTCTCAGCATGCGCTGTCGTGAGATTTAATCAAGTGCGGTAATTGCGGTGGCACGTCATGCAGCGCGGTGGGCTTCTTAATATCGCGATATATTGTTCTTGCGATTATTGCGACAGCCCTATGACTGGATGCAATTAAGTTTCCTTCAGTTAAACAAAGACGAGACTGAATTTATCGTCTTTGGAAATAAGAAGGATAGGATGGAGGCTACTGCTCAGCTAGACTCCAGAAGAATACAGACAAAGACCGTCTTAAATCCCTACACTTGCTGTAAACTACAGAATAGACTTCAAAGTGCTCCTTCTAGTCTATAAATCGCTCAATGGCATGGGACCAAAGTACATGTTGGATTTCCTTCCAGTATCTACACCCAGCAGGGCTCTGAGAAGCAGTCAGCTGGTAGAACCGGGTCAGAACCAACTTTAGAAACTTTTAAATCAGAATTGAAAGCCTTCATGTTTTCGTCAGCCTTTGAATACATGTTTTGTATGCTGCAGGTAACCTTTTGACTAAGCCTTTTATGTTTTTAAGTCTGAAATGAATATCTACATTTCTTTGTTTGGTTTACTGTTCTTGCTTCTGTAAAGCACTTTGAATTGCTGTTTTATTTGAAATGTGCTACACAAATAAAGCTGCCCTTTCTTTTGGATACATGCTGTTGTCTTTGCTTGTTATCTCGTGAACTGCAGAGTAACGCTGTGATTTAGTGACATCGCAGGACATGCTGAGTGGAACACTTACTGCCAATTTGTGTGCGTATATTACTGTATTCGCTGTTTACGTGTCTAGTGGTAAGGCCGGGTTGAACTCCAAATCCTGCTGTTTTCAGTCCCTGCTGCTACTCTGGCTGCTTTCTACTTCCTAAAACAGTCACGCATTTTCTACACAGAACCACTCAAGGCATTCATTCATTCATACTAGAGACTTTGTAAATGTATTGAAATTACAAGCGAACGATGGTTTCAAAGGATTGATGGAGTCCATCGTAAAATGATAGTCACTCAAAGGTGGTATTAAAGTAGAACATTGTTTTCCCACTGAATGTTTTAGTAGGACTGAACACAAGGAAATTTTTACATCAATTCTTAATTCAAGTTTATTTATAAAGCACCAAATCACGACGAGAGGCGTCTTACGGCACTTCACATAGTAAACATTCCAATACAGGTCAGTTCATTAATGATGATATCGATGCTGTGTCCAGCCCTGATTGTGCTTATTTGCTTCCTCAGTGATGAGATCGGCTTCATCCAGTGCCCAGAGGCACGCTACAACCGCAGTCCCATTGTGCTGCTGGAGAACAAGCTGGGCGTGGAGAGCTGGTGTGTAAAGTTTCTGCTGCCTTACGTCCACAACAAGCTGCTGCTCTACCGCCAGCGCAAACACTGGTTGGACAGAGAAGGTACTACTGCTGGGGGTTAACCATTATTTTTAAAAATATTAATTGGGTGATTATCTTAGGTGTGTTCTTGCTGTGTTGTGGTTCTAATTCCATGCTGTCGTTCTTTTTTTAAAACACAGAAACCGTTTTGTTACCTGTTTTCGGGAAAACGGGTAAAGAGACTGTTTCTGTGTTTTAAAAAAACAACAGCATGGAATTACTTGGGTGATTATTTTATGGAATACGCAGCTGTTCTAATGACTAATTAGACTAATCTAACGATAATTTTTTTGTTGCATGATGAATAAAAACCAGAAATTTCAAGTAAATACCCCCCAAAATGTTATCAAACTGGTACTGTAAAACAGTAAACACTTTTCTATAACACTGCTTTTATTTTTTGCGGCACGTTGTGTGCTGGTGACTTGTAGAGCTTGCGAGTGCAGGCTACTGAGCCTGCGATGTGGTTGGAGATGGAGGTTTGTTCTCCATGCGGCGTTGCTGTGGTCACTCGCGTACGTGTGGTGGTGTTGCGACCCTTCCCTTCCTTCTCCGTCTGCGTCGGTAAGGAGACAACCAACGTCATTATGCGTCGGCGCAAGAGCGCTCCGATGAGCTCGCAGAGGGTGACGGAGACATGCCTAAATTTTTAACTATCCGTTGAAAGTGACTGAGACTGCAAGCTTGCGATTGGTCAGGACACCGCTTCCTGTAAATTCGTCACCAGCACTTGCCCCATCTAAGTGTAAAGGGCTATTTAGCAGCAGACCAGAGCAGACCGAAGAACGCATCATGGAAACGGCCTGAAAATATGAACGTTGATTCACCTGTGACTGAAAAAGCACGAAGATATGTGCAAGCGTTTTATTCGTAGACGGAAAAGACGAGACTTCAGTTTAGAGGTGCTGATGGCATGAAGAGGTGGAGGTGAATGAGGGACACATTTGTCCGTGTTCACAACTCTCAGAAATACATTAAAACAATGTCAACACAATAGTAAATACACTGCACACCCATTCCCACTGTTGTTGCTTCTGTTTACCGGCCTCCCAAATTGGGTAAAGGCTCTTTTCTAGCAAAACTCTCTTCTTTATCTCAGTGTTATTCTGCTTGTTGATTTCTATTTCCATTCAGACAATAGTAGTTGTTGGCAACCAGGGACTTGGTTTCCTGCCTGGATAGTCTGGATTCCAGTAGTGTATGGGCTCTCCAACAAATGTTAAAGGTCACACGTGGGATTTAATCTGCTGTTCCGGACGGCGGACTGTTTGTACTATTACCTATGGTAATTAGAAATGTATAGATCTGGACCACTTTCTCTCTTGCATTAGTGATTTTATGGGGGTTTTTTTTTTTTTGCTACCCCTCCCATTGACTTGGTTTCCTTTTACAATGATGACTTACTCAACCTGCTGAATTTAGTTTCTCCAACTCCGTTGGTCTCCTTTCGGTGTACTACTCCCTGGTTTACACGAGTGACTCCCAACCAGGTGGTCCGTGAGCACATTACAGGGGGTGCTCAGAAAAATGAATATTTCATTACCTAGATGATGACAGCACTCGCCCTGATAACAAAAAACGATTGGGCTGTGATGTGTTATGCTTAATGAATACTCAAGTAATGTACAGTAATTTAAGGTTGATATCATATTATCAATTATCTTTTTAGGCCAAACGCAACTGCATGAGTTTTGTCATTCTGGCAACGTGGATGTGCACCCAGGCCTCCTCCGCGGTTCCCCTCAATCCAAGCATTTGTAGAGAGGTCCACTTTAGGGGTCTAGGAGCTCAGGGTTTTATCAATTTTCATGGCGTCTCCCAATCTTAATTTTGAAAATTAGCCTTACATTTGAGGCCGTGTCAGTAGGGTTAGTACCATGGAGAACCGATGTGTGCACAATTTCCTGAAATTTAGTTTTTCAGCAATATAATTGTCACCAAGTAACCCATTCTTCATCCATTCAGTATTTCAGTTCAACTCTGAAATCAGTTCCCCAAAAACCTCTGATTTAAACCACAACACGGTAAGTTCTGTATCAATTCTAAGTAGTCATTACCTACAGAAATGTTTCTTATTTCTTAAGTAAGTATGAATCATGCCCTCCTTTATTTAACCATCCTCAAATAGGACGAGTTATCAACCCATAAACTAATCACACTTATCGTTCACCTTATTAACTCATTCACTGCCAGCCGTTTCCTGATCACTAACGGCCTTCGCTGCCAGCGTTTCTCACCGTTTTTACTGTTTTTTAAGAGTCACAGAATGTTGCGCGCTAACATGTCAATGCCAAAACAACCAAAACAAAGAGGAGACTCGCCTCTTACATCAGGAAGAAGCCGCGTGTTTCCAGCGTTATCCGTTCTTTCATAATCCGTTGTCGAATTGTGATCGGCAGACGCTTTTCCGGTTCGCGCCTCACTTTTTTTTTACAGGAACAGCCCAAAACGATCTCCAAACACATGGATGTGTTGCTTCCTGATCATGTGATCTGTGACGTATGCGGATGAAGATCGGCTTCAGGGCTGAGATGTTTGTTCTCTCAGCGCGGGGGCTCGTTCCGATGCTCAAACAGTAAAAAAAAATGCAAATGGCGACTTTAGTCGTCATTGGCAGTGAATGAGTTAAAAATACCACACATTATCATTACTTTTAGCATTATGTCATCTACCATAATTCTACACCAAGAACCTTTAATATAACCAATGGTGAATCAACCATCAACCCAAAACATCACATGTCCCTGAATACCATCCCCCATTACCTTGTGCACATTTAAGCCTTTCAAACAGCCATCCCCATTACCTTGTGCACATTTAAGCCTTTCAAACAGCTCTGGGTGGATCAGGTCCAGAACCACACTAACCCTTCCTCACCCAACGAGGGGTGTCACATTTTATTTTTGTTGATTTTCAAAACCATTACCTCATGTCATGACAAACCATTGATATTTTATGAGGACACCATGCATGGATTTCCCTTCTAGTTGGCCATTTAAAACGAGCGTTTAAGGAGCAGACCACACGCATTAGCCAGTGTTTTTTATTACAGGAATCATCACTTGGTCTTTCCCAGCCCTGAAGACTTAGGAAACAACAGAACAGAACATGCAAACAAACCGTAGACGAACGCACACACACCGTTGGACAACAGAAATCACACATTTCCTCACCCATCCAGGTTCTCAGGTCTCCTGACCCTGGTGATGATGTGCTCCTTCGACAGAGGCAGCCCTCTGCTATGCCTTACCTCTCCAGCTGTGAAGTAGAGTTAAAACAAACGGGACACAGCACTAGGGCTTTTCGTCGTCAATTCCTTGTGTTGTGCAACATTTATGTAACAGTGAATGCACGCAGCAGACCGAAGCAGATCAGAACAGAGACGTACATATGTGTAATGACTGTGTAAGGAAGATGCTTTTACCGGCACACTGAGCTACTGTAGGTGCTGTGGAGGACAACAGAGAAACCAGCAAAGACACAGATGCAGAAACAGTCCAGAGTTTGTAAAGTGTAACTACAAGCAGGTTAGCTAATGCTAGCAGGCAGCATGCTCATGATCAAGTGGGTTCAGAAAAAAGACGATGGTTGAACATCTAAACTCTACAAGCAGAAGTCCCATCATCACATCATCCTGTTCATGACCTGTCTGCAGCGCTACGGAGCAGAACCACTGCAGTCAGGTCGCTGCTTCCAGTCTGCTCTGCCCAACTGAAGGAATACGGCAATCCACTATGAACATAATTTAAACTGGATTATTGCTAACCCGTACATAATATGTCACCATGATGTTTTTGCATAGAAATTATGTTATTAGCATTTCCAGTAGCTCCTACTAAACATGTTAATGAAATACATTAAATGGTACCGACTATAGTTTAATCATGGATATATTTAGATGATAGATGTTGTTTTACACTCTACTGAACAATTTTCTAATCATGTTCTGTTGTTAAAGTAAAGGAAGGAGAGAAAAATGTTTGCCTAGACATTTATCAGGGGTGGACATTAACTTCAAAACCAACCGGCCAGCCGGGCCGGTAACTCTGAATATTTACCGGCCCCTCCAAGAATCTACCGGCCCCGCTGGTCAGCTGCCAAAACAAGTCAAAATAACAACTGAACCGTTTTAAATGTCATAAACCTTTATTTTGTACACATTCACAAACATAATAACGTATTCAAGTTTGAATTTGTTTGTTCCCTCAACAACTCGATTTTGTCGTTGCATACTTCCGGCATACAACGCAGTACATCACCAACTCCGCTTTGCTGTACTCGAGCCATTGGCCGTGTTCGAGATGAGCCAGTTCTGCGCAGATTAGACCACCGGTGATCAGCGAGCAGTGCATGCCGGTTAGATTTGTGTCTGACTTAACGCCGACTTGCTCTGACGTCATGCCTACGTAGGCGACGATAACCTCGTGAGATCAAGGCAGTTGCAGATTTTGGAGCAAGGTGCTGCAGTTGCTCTCCACCGGCTGCAAAACCTAGAGGATGACGGGAAACGCCTGGCTCTCACCTGATCTCAGATCTGATTGGTTCACATTTTGATCCAAACATCCGGTGGTAGAACATGAAATGTTAGTTGGTCACATGTAGAGCTGAAACAACTAATCGATTTAATCGATTATAAACGATTATTAAAGTAGTTAACAACTTTTTTAGTCATCGATTAGTTGTTTAATAATCACATTTTACCGCATAAAGTCTATTTTTTACCACAATCTGACATCGGTTACAATCTGTTAAATTTGCCGCCAGTGTGTGGCAGTAATGAGCCACTGATCTACCAGTGGAGCCGTAGAAGAAGAAACGAGCCAATAAGTGCCCTCGGTTTTCATGACGTGTCACGTTACTGACGCTCATCTTGCTTTGAGAGATGGCGGAACAAGAAGAAATACGGAAGAAAAATAGAAGCGACAATACAGAAGAGAAACCCTGGACAAATGCTTCACGAGTATGGGAGCACTTCACTCTAGATGCCATGAAAAGATGGGTGACCTGCAAAATATGCAAAA